GTCTGCTAAAAGCTAGAGTCCGTCGAGAAGGGAACACCGGCTCCATAGGCGCGCAGAAAGGCGGCGGCACCTAACGCATCTTAGAGGCCCAGCTTCTCTTTATAACATACGCTCTACCCCTCCTCACCGACAATTTATCGTGCCCCCACTTTTGGATGAAGGATCTATAGCAGCCCGTTGACTATCTGGTTTTCCAGGAGCCGTATGCTAACCCCTCCCCCCCCACAGGGGACTCGTCTCGGGAGGAAGGAGACAAGTTCTCGCTGTGGGACTCGCTGTTACCCATTTGTCATTGTATGAGCCCTCTGCTGTTGTGGTACTCTCCCTCTCCTGATAGGTCGCCTTTGTGACCTTGAGTGAGTCTCAGCCTGAGGGTAGCCTTAGAAAGGAAGGGATGCTTTCCTGCGCATCCTTGGGTTGAAGGATAGCATACTGCTAGAAAACGAAAACTCTGCGCCGCAAGCCTCACCAGTCTCGCCAGCGTACTTCATGATGTAGTTATGGTGCCATAACATTGGCCCTCGTGTGATTTTGAGAAGTGGGGAACCTAAAATAACAGCTTGAAAATTTTTAGTTATCGCTTCTCGCAACAAAAGTACCCAGATGTGCAAACGTGAGTTAAACGAAGCGCCGCCTATCATGGGTTAGGCTTTCGCGAAAGTGGGAGGTACCAATGGGAGAACTTTTAATCTGGTTCCAGAAGAGATTAGTGATCGGGAAAAAGTGCGAGGTTTAGTAGCGCATTGGCTGCTAACTGTAACATGTACGGATCTCTCGTGGGAGGACATTTTTCTCAAAATTGGTGGTACTTATAAAACAATTTTCGACCGGAATCTAGAGACTACTTTTCACAGTGTCAAATCTCGTCAGCAACTCGATCTTGCTTTGAAAACTTTGAAAGGTTCTTGTGAAGAGTTTATTACAATACAAATTGCAAACAAATTGAAATATCACAGACTCCGAGGCTCACTTAGGAAGAGCGGCTGAGCTGTTGTTCGCAGCCTCTGTTGCCCTTTGCTCTCGTTCCGTCCATTTCTTTCTCTCGTGTGCGTACTCATTCAAGACTTCTTTCATATCCTTCCATAATAGCTCGCGAAGACTTTCGGATACGTCAAAAAATTCCAAAAAGTTCTGAAAAACCAAACCCTATCATAAACTAAAGCTTGAAATAGTCAGCATATACAGTGTTCGAGGAAGGTCCTTGGAGCGGATAAAGTGTGAAGCAATTCACCTCACCTCTTTCATAGAATTGACCTTTGCTTGTATTATACGTTTGTCTACAACGATTCCCATCTCGTCTGGATTATCTTTGTACTCCACCTTTTGTAGATCAAGTATGAACTGGCACATTTCAAACCGCGATGGCTCATACAACTCCTTCGCTATAGCACCTTCGTCTACGAAGACATCTTCAATATCATCTGAAAAATGATATGACCTAAGGTGAGAAGGGTTAAATCTAAAAGTTGCGCCTCCAATGAGGATCAGACACTATCGCTCATCAACAGACCAACCTTCGCTTTCTTCTTCTCTACCCTGTTCGCGGCCTGCAAGTATTTGCTCGTGTAGACCCTCTACTATCGGCAATAATCTGAACGGAAATCGGAAAATTCATTATTAACGCATAATCAAAAGCAGTGATAGAAATTCTCCCACGTATCAAATTCGGCTCTCAGTTGTGTTAGTTCCTCCTTCAGTTTATTGACCGTCTCCACTAAGAGCTCCATCTCCACTAAACAAGAATCGTATTCTAGATACACTGTGAAAGAACATTTTTAAGCACTAATACCACTTCATAGAGCAACTACGAGCGAGTTTTTTTTTTCGACAACCACAACAAGCTGGTAGGAACTTGACACTTTCGGGGTAAATTTAAGTGTTTGAAAATTTGCGACAGGGTGACGCTAAGCTAGCTTTTCAGAACAGCTCCTAACTTCTATAAAGGATCATTATTACTTTCACAACACGAACAGCACTTTGTTCTATGAAACAAGTCGAAATGATTATTATGAATACTACTATTCAAGGCATTTGGGCTTCGGCAACCGATTATATATGGTATACTGTGAAAGATAGTCTGGAGTCCATCACAACACGTAGGCCTCCTACTGCTTCGCTTCAATCGACGCATTTGTGGGCTTATAAAGGCAGGAGCAGTCGAACATACCTTCAGTGAAAGACGATTTTTAAGCTTCAAACGCTGCGAAATGCTACGACAGAAATGCTGTGGAGAGAGCATTAACCACCGCTCACATGCGTTTAACAGTGAATGTTTCAAAACGATCCCAAAAGATTTTGCAAGATGAACAAGAAAATGCGCAAAGACTTTTCCGACAACCTAAAGGAATCCTTCGCGGAAAATTCTTGCATTCTTGACATGAATGTGTCAGTTGTGATCACTGGAAACAGCACACAAAGTTTCACGCATGAAGATTCGGTTTCCGAAGAGAAACAAACGTACAAAAACTACACGTTATGGACAATCGAAGGTAATTCGGGCGGAGCCAAACGAGGCATGGAAAGAAGTTGGCCTTTGGCCGGCTACGTATCAGGCGACGCAATGAAAGAATCGGGTTAAAGCGCGCGATTTCGGAGAGTAGAGACAAATCGATCGATAGAATGGATGGAGTAGAAGTGTAAGATGTGAATGCAATAAAGCAGAAGGCCAGAAAGAGTTTCTAGTGAAGGCACTCCAAGAACCAAGTGGAAGCATCCCCGTCGCCAGCATTTGTGAAAGACGTCCGTGGGCACTTTGAACGCGTAGCAGCCCTTTCGATTTTTCGAATTTTTACCAAACAAAAGCAATATTTCTGTTCTTTTCATTCTTATCGTGGATAATGAGTCTCAAGCCAGTGATTTATGGCTGAAATAGAATCATGATTTTTCCGTGAAGGATTCCTTTGATATTTCATCACGCTTTTTAAGTTGCAATCTCTATTAAAACGAATGAATCCTCAAGAGGTTTCACAAAATCCTTAGCAATACATTTACATATTGAAAGGAATGACATTCATTGGATATGCTCCCCTGTTGTTGTGAGTATGGCTCCCAATTGCTTCGAACGCAACTCTACTGTGGCCCGCATGGCATCCTGGGCCTCATCTGAACTTTGCAGAGAAAAGGCTTCGGCTCATCCATGTGAATGCAATGTTTAGTCAGTGGTTCCCCAGCGCAGCCCATATAGGATGGCCCAGCACGTTGAAATCAAGAGATAGGACAGCCATTCTTTTGAGGATGTGACACCGTAAAAGAGTGGCATAACACCGCTCTCAGGCGAATTTCGCATCTTATACAAGCTACTTCCTATTGAGGAGAACACGACTCCTCGTCAAAATCCAGATGCTTTAGTATTAGATGCTGCACCGACACATCCGCTGAGTCTCCGTATCGAGTTTGCATCTTTTTTTGAACAGACAGTGGTTGAGCAACTGGTACTTGACATCTCTGCACAGACCATGATAAGAACTGGCTGCCGCTCGGAGCAAAGGTTCCTTTCTCTTTCATCGGCTTCTTCAGGATCTTATTCAGTAAGTTTGACGATAGCGGTTCCGCTCCATAAGAGGAACTTTGTCGTTGATGAAAATGGTGCCCAAGTCACCGCCTCTTCTTTGATACCAGCTGTACAAACTTTTTGTCTATGCTGTGCGCCTTTGGTTCGATTGAGCGGTGGTGCCTGTGCAGCTCATAATAGTTTGTGATCAGTTGCTGTATGAGCGCCTAACTAATTTAGCAAGTGAGCAAATAAACAAATGTAAGTGTGAGTGTGATATGTTCGAACGGCGCTAAGATGAACCTCGGAGGAGATCTGAGCAAAAACAACTGACCTGTCAAGTATTCGCTCATTTGTTGTAAAGGGTAAAAGAAAGCGTGAGGTGTCAGCCTTTTATATCGCATTAGAGCCGTGGAAAGCATCATCAGCAGAATGGCTTATCAGTGACACGAGACTAGAGAAGCATTCTCGAACCACCTCCACCCTTCCACGGTTCCGACATACGTTGCGAAAGGCACATAAGACAGCTTTTTGTTCCGATTGCAGGATCGCGCTAGATTGCAACTTGCAGGACATTTTCACAGGACAGGTTAGATGTCTTCAATCGACAACTGCTGAAATTAGAAAAGGGTAGGTGACCTACGGAACCACGAAAGAAAGTGTGTATGGCTCAGGAATGTGACCTAGTGTAATGAGTGACGTAGTTCCTTCCTTCTGAGCTTGTTTTTGACTTGGCTATGCGACAAGAAAAAAGCTGAAAATCGGCGCTACTGTGAGGTTCCATGCACACATCAAATCCGTATTCAACGCCCACGCTAACCTGTATGGATGGGGAACGTGTGGAGTAGGGTGTAATAAACTCAAGTACCAGTCACAGTATCTAAGGGTGCTAAGGCATGGTAAAGTGGCTAGTGAGGACAGACTTTCAATGCAACGGCGACTACTCGCAACAGACGATTGAATGGCGCATCCCAGAGCAGGAGATCTTACTATATCACTTCATATTCTAGTGTGCACGAGCAACAGATTCTCGCAGAAGAATTTCGTTGCTTTCAGACAGAGCCAAAGTGGAAGGGAAGCGGATTCGAGACAGAGTATCAAAGAAAATTCTAGCACTGGGAAGGCTTATATTTTGAAGCTTCTGAAAAATCCCGCACCTGGTTTCTGATCGGCCTAGAGATCTGTAAAAAGTTGATTACGAAGGAAGTTATGGAAGTTTGAATGCTGGAAAAACGGGATATTTTTTTAGAGAAACTTGCAAAGTTCAGCAAAGAAAACGATTTAATGTTCTCAAAGTTCATAAGAAACCAACCTCAAATTAAATGGCCGGTAATTGCTCCACTACTTTTTAAAGTATAGCTTATAAAAAAGGAAGTGCAAGGGTTCCAAAAAATCTGTTTTCTGAAAGTCGAGTTCCCTACGATTACAAACATATACAAGCAAAAGCTCAGAAGTAATTTCTTTTAATGGATAAATCCCATATCCACTCGATTCCTGCGCGTCAAAGCGCTATCCATGTTGCTGACGGCTACCTCGATCGTGGACATAAAATCTATTGGAAGACAAAAAAATCATAATACATAAAAGATTGTACCGATACCTTCTGAAAGGGGAGGGGGCCGTAGAAATTTCGGAGACGGCGCAATGCGCGATTGATCCTGCGTGTGACGCATGTCAGAAAGGATGAATTACGTCACGCATTTCACCAATTCGCTTTTTCTCAGGTGTACTTTCGCGGTTCAACGGGTTATTAAACGTGTCCTAATTTGAGTTATTTTTTTATTGAGCACATCCAGTTTGGGACTGTCCCGCAAGTTGCGTTATACTTGTAAGCCCCTTTACTCATCTTCTATTATCTTTCAAGGTTTCCTCACCTTTCAGGGCCCTAAAGCGGAACTGAAAGCTGACACATGTGCCTTTCGCAACGCACTGCAATCGTGGCAGGAAAGAGGTGCCTCGAGTTTGCTTCTCTTATCTTCTGTCACTGATAAAACAGCCTGCTGAGCTTTTCACTGCGCTGATGCCCTATAAAAGGCCGACACCTCATGGTTCCTTATAACTTTTACAAATACGTCAGCAAATTCTGCTTACGTCAGTTTTTGCTCGAATCTCCTTTTGAGGTTCATCTTAGTGCCGCCCAACAATATTATGCTCTAACCTATTTTTGTTTTTTTATTCACTTGCTAAAATAGAACATATGAAGCTCACAACATATGTGCAGCATAGCAACAAACATATGTGCGCTACAGCCGATGTGAGTACGGAAAATTACAGTAATGCCTGTGATTTTCATTCAGTCAACATGTTTATGAGAGGCTGTCCCGTCGCAAATCGTCAATTTACCATAAATTGTGAAAGAAATGATCGAAATGACGTAGGCTATAGGCTAGTAGATAGCCTTTTATAGCGGATCTGACGAAATAAAGAACTCTATTCTCTTTCTGTCTTTTATCCCATTTCCAATGAATTCACGGGACTAGTGCTGTTTTGCGCGGCAGTTTGTGCTGCAAAAATGTGAATAATCTTTTATAGAACTTAGAAACTCCTCTTTAAAGGAGAGCTAGCTAAGCGTCACCCTGTCACAAATTTTGAAACGCTCAGATTTACCTCGCTAATTTTCACCAGCTTCGGTGTAGTTGTCAAAAAAAACTCAAGAAATGCTCGTAGTTGCTTTATGAAGTGCTGTGGAATCCTTTATTGCTGATTTATAATTTACGCAGAATACCATCCATGGAGATGGAAGAGATATCTGAGAAGGTAAACGGATTGGTGGAGCAGGTGGCTCGTCTGACGGCCGAACTCGAAAAGTGGGAGAACTTTCATCACTGCTTTTTGTTTATGCTTTTCTTATAGATTTTCCGATTCCTGTTTAGACTGAGAGTGGAAAGAGAGGGTGGGCAAAAGGGAGTGCCAACAATGCCGAAGCAAGACAGGGGAGATCGGAAGGACAAACAAGGTTGGTTATCTGATGAGCCCCAAAGTGTCTGATGCTTATTGGAGGCTTCAACTTCCAGTCCCAGCCTTTCTCAAGGTGATAGTGCTTTGCAGATGATAGCGACATCCACGAGGATGTAGCAACTCACTTGACGCTTTTGGCAAAGAGACGGGCGATGGCCCATTTCGTACTTGATCTAGAACTGTTGGTTTATGAAGATAACCCAGACGAGATGAGAATTCCTGTAGATAGGCGTCTTAATCAGACAAAAGTTGATTTCGTCAGAGAGGTGAGGTGGATTTTGCGACACTTTATCTGCTACAATAATCTTTCTACCCGTAAGAACTCCGTGCTGTTGATTATTTCAAATTTCTGTGTTTGATAGCGTTCGGTTTTTTTAGCGCTTTTTGGAACGGTTTGAAGTGCCCGACCGTGCGAACGAACTAATGTGGAAGTCTATGAAAGAAGTTCTGAATCGACGTGTATACAGGAAGAGAATGGCACTCAAGAAAAAGGCTGCTGAGCAGAAGGAGAAGGCAGAAGAACAGGGAAAGTCCGACGAAGAGGAAAAGGCAAGAGATGCTCCAAAGAAAAGATCCTTATGTCTTTGAACTCCCCCATGTAGCCTACGACAATGTGGACGTAGGCGTCTAAGGATATTTCACTTGAATTGTGCTTCAGCTGTTTAAATTACACACTCTTTCCATGTTGTATTGTATTAAACTCTTCACATAAACCTTGAAAGTTTTCAACGCGAGATCCAGTTGTTGACAGGAGTTGACAGTGTGGGAATCAATCTCCAGGTTCAAGTCAAGAATTCAGTTCAGTGAGTATCGCTTTGGAAAATCGTTTCTCAATCTCTGATTTCTTCTGTTGTCTGACGTTGTGAAGCAGAATTCGATAGAAGCTTAAAGGCAAAGGTCGGGCTCAGGCACGCTAGAGAAGTAATTCCCGTGCCTGGAGGTTGTATGTGGGTAGCTGCACACATTGCAGCAACTTCCCACCTTGAAAAACCCCGTTAAGGCCCCGGGGCGTTCGGTTTCAATCCAGGGCCGCCTGGTCAATCCAGGACCGCCCACCTCCGGAAGTGGTGCGTGGCTGGCATAACGTGTGAAATCAGCTAGGTTGATTGCCGTATCAACCGATAGAACGACTGACATCTCCAGAAAACTTGTTTGTACGTGCCTCTTTCCCCAAGCCAGCCTCCTTCACTGCTAGTGGGAAAGAGGGTTTTGTTAACGGCCTTGTCGACGGTTTTTCTCAGTTTTTTCTCCACTGTCGTTCCACTTCGCATCTCTATACTCAGTTTCAATCGCCACCCCCTTACTTTAAGCCCGAAAGTTTGCCTTTAAACTTCAACAGATCGCACCTATTCACAGCGATCCAGCCTTCGTTTCCTACAACCTATTTCTTGTGACATGAAACCACAAACGTAATAAGTAGTAGGAAACGAAGGCCTAATTCAGCAGCGACCTTCTCAACTGTTATAAGCACATTAGATTCTTTCAGATGTTTCGGTTGATTCTCACCGACGTTCGATATCAAGCAGTACCGTCACCACCATCGAGGCTCTCGCCATCCCTTTACGAGCTTCAAACTATCTCTGACAATTCGCCACTTTTCGAAATTTAGAAGCCGAAGCAATAGTTTAATTCAATAAGCTGATTCCACATCCCTGCGCTGCTTGATTCATATGAAAGAAGAAAATCGTGCTGCTTTGGTTGCTGAGTATGTTGTATTCAAGTATTGAAAAAGTGGAAGCAGTTGCTTTCAAGCAAGGCTGACAGCACCATCGGATAGAGCAAAAGTTTTGATCTCCAAAAATGTACACCATGTACCAATCTGCAGAAACTTTTTCAGAATTAATGCTTCGAAACGTGAACTATCGAAAATGGCAAGAATTTCCTTACAACTTAATAGCACTGTCCCTATTCCTAAGGGGTTGCGTTTCTCTGACCGTGAGTGCCGGGTGTGTACCGGAATGACGGGTCTCATGACGCAACCCCTCTCTTAGCCTAGGGATAGCGTTAAAGGAGAGGAACACTTCGTTCTGGCTCCTTGGGTTGAAGGATAACATAATATAGACACAGAAACGGCAAGACTGCGCGAGAAGCCGCGAGCTTACCAGGCGTGGACTTTTATGAGGTTGTAAAGAAGCCACGATAATTGCACGCTTTTGAGAGGAAGAGGGGAATCCTAACCATCAGCTTGAACTTTTTTAACAACTGCTCCAAACAAAATATTTTGCCAAGGTATGCAAAGCACCTGCGAACAGGGCCAATATGTTGCGACAAGTACCAACGGGAGGAGGGGGTCGTTTTTGGTTTAGCTAGTAGTGGGGGGTTCGTACTCTCTCGGTGGCCTGCAGTAGGGTTCTTGGTAATATCCCCGCTTACGCAAAATAATTGAGACTATAATGAGCTTTGAAATGAATCAGCGAATCAGAAGTGCGGCCGAGGCGTGGCGCACACCAAGGCAGGGGATGTCAGTGCAAGCGCATGCTCGAAGCTTTCTAACACATCCTATGTTCAACACGAATTGCTTTTCCTGGAGGTTACGGCCAGTGAAACCTAAAAAAAACCGCGTTTTCAAGAAAATGGCTTGAAGAATGCCCCTCAAAAATAGGCAACGGGACTAATTTTTGAACTGCTGACTTTTCAGGAACGTTTGGGTACTTTTAGAAAGCTTGAATCCTGTAGTTTGTCATACCGTGTTCAGCTTCCCAAATAAATGAGTTTGAAGGAAGTTATGATCGTTTGAAGGTTGAAAAAGTCGCGGTTCCAGAAAAATAGTAACGCAAACCCCCAAAAAAGTAACAACGGGACTAATTTTTGAACTACTGATTTTCAGGAACGCTTGGGTGCTCTTTAGAAAGCTTGAATCCTGTAGTTTATCATACGTGTTCAGCTTCCCAAATGAATGACTTTGAAAGTTATGATCGTTTAAAGGTTGAAAAGTCGCATTTGCACAGAAAAAAGTTCCAACGTGCTAAATTTTTATTAAATTAGCTTTCGAAGAATATTTAGCCATGGTTGGAGAGAGAATAATTTGAATTTTCCAAATCAAATCACTTCGGCGCAAAAGCTTGAATATGAAGGAAGTTATAGCCCTAGAAAAAGGAAGGTAAAACTTGTAGTACAATTTTATTTCTTGCTTAATAACTTAT